CTGAAGATTAACCCGAGGCAAAATTATAAAGTAGGCGACCTTAACTTGGTCTCTGAGTACCTTCCTGCCACCTTTGACCAAACTTTAGGACCTCCACCAAGTCCCTGGTATCCTTGGCTGCCCACCCTGTCCATCCTGTGACAGGGCAGGGGCAGGGGGCAGGCATTGTACACACTCATTCATAGGAAAGTGTGAATGGCTAGATCTTTACCCCTCCATTCAGAAAAGAAAAGAATTTAACGATTAACACAGAAGGATGGATCGCCGAAGTGGCTCTAAGGGAAGAACTGTGGGTAGTGGTGAAGAGGGGTTGGGGTCTTAGGGGCACTTTGAATTCCAATCGCCAGACCCCAAGCTGATGAGCCTGCCTGGGAGACAAGTCCCCAGACTCTCAGCCCTGTCCTCTTTCTCAGTCCCAACCCCACCTTCCCTGCCTTGGTGGTGCTCCCACCCAGCTGACTGGCCCCCGTCAAGGACGTGGGAAAGAGAATCTGTGAGTGGGCAGTTCACTCAGTGGTCCCAAGGCCCCTCGGCTCTGAATACTTGTGGTTCACTGTGTTAGAGACAAAGAGCCTCCAGAGCCTTCCCTCTGAGGCACCCCCACCCCGCTCCCACCTGCCCGCCTAGCCTGCAGGCTCTCCCTCCCCACGCAGTCCCTTGAAGGAGCAGGGTGGGAGTGAAGAAGGTCCTGCAGCTCACAAACGAAACAGCAGGGATGTGATGACAACATGCACGATTCTTAGGGGGTGAGCATCTGTCTGGCTGAGGCTCCCCTGAGGAGCGAATGAGAAAGGGTTTAACTTGAATCGGATTAGACAGAAAGACAAGCTTCCCAGCCACATTTTACAAGTCCCCCGAGCAAGGAGCCAAGAGGGGCTGCTAAGACTTTCAGAACAGATGTCTGTCTTCGGGGCTTTGGGCACTGTTCTGTCTGAAGGCAGAGGCAGTGACAGAGCGGGGAGGAGGAAAGAGCAGCTGAGAGCTGGGAGCCGGCCTGGCTGGCACACGTAGGCCTTGTGTTCTCCCATTGAACATAACGTCAATATCGGACAAGCCACTCTGCGGCCATGACAGGTCAAGACCAAAACAAGACCATTCGTGATCATGTCTGAACACAGGCAAAACCAGGAACAATGTCCAAACCACAGAAAGACCAAACAACCTCTCTCCTGAGTGACTGCTGCTTCTGTGGCAATCACAGCTTTAGCCTCCCTCTGGGTTACCGCTCTCTAGGTAAGAATCACCAAGGTGCCAATCATAGAATCATCCCACTTCCTGACAGCATGCTTCCCCGAATCCTTCCAAACCACCGAACACAGCCCACATTCTATACCAGTCTCTCTGACACTCTCCAACTAAGATGCCCACCGTCCCCCAATGTGTGCATTCTCCCCCTGCTGCAACAGTTGATAAATGCAACTTGTTCAACTACAGGGATGTTCCAAGAGGGGTCACTGGCTGGAGGGTGTTGACAAAGGCATTCACACATTGTGCTCCCAGGATGACAAGTCCCTCACGGCCCTTTGCAACACTGAGCCACCCCTGCCCCACCACCAAAGAGGACAGGCAGCCAGATGTTCTGCAAAGACACAGTGTGCCAAAGGCCCATCCATCTGGGTCTCCCTGGATCTCTCCCCAGGAGTTTAGGGAAGGCTGGAGGCAGCTCATTTTGATCAGCATCTAGAAGAGTGCCTGGCACATAGTAGATGTTCAATAAAATATGTGGCATGAAGGAATGAATCATAACCACTCAAACAACAAGGTTTCTCCAAGCCCTTGAATGTCTAAGCAGCTTTAAGACCTTTCATGAGAATTTCTGAAGAGTAAGTAGCGATGCTGGTCCTTGCAAACATTTTTGTAGCGTTCGGTGGTGCCCTGGAGACTCCGTTTGTCCCTCCAGACAACCCCCATCCTGCTCTGTATCCCAGATTATGACCTCTATGACCTGTGTTAGCCAGGTTCCCTTGCCCTCTGGCTTCTGGTTGGGTTCCACCAGTGAGAGTCACCAGAAGATCAGAGGGCAGGAGAGGTCTCCTTCACTCCCTTCCGGGGGACACAGCGGATGGCCTGCCTCCCTTTACCTAAAGCAACTCGTTGGACAGCCTCTCCCAGCTCTCTGGGTCCCAGTACCAACTCCCACCTCCTGCCCCTTCAGCCTGGGGTGGATCCCCACTGATGCTGGCCCTAGGGTGTTAGACCATCCAAACCCCGCCCACACCTCTGTAAATAACCTTTTCATTACACTTTCTTCAATGACCTATTTCTTCCCCTTCTTTCCTGCTGAGAGAAATCTAACAGGTGGCTCAGAAGATCCTCACTTGTCCCAACTTCAACCTGCTGAGTGGCCTCAGAGGCTCAGTGAGGACCTGGGGATGCAGGTGTGTGGCTGCTTGTGTGTGGGTGCAGGGCAATCAGGGGGAGAAGACCCCTTGGGTCCCACAATTCAGCAGGCTCTGTCACCAGCCAGGAGGACCCAATATTTGGTGAGCAGAAAGCAGGGAGCCAGAACTGAGACTTCCTCCGGAAGCCAGGATAGCAGCAGCTGTGTTTCAGCCCCAAATCAGGGGACAGCGTGGAAGGGGACTGGCGGGGACCAATGCAGGAAAACGTTCAAAACGGCACCTCTCCTGGGCAACCTGGCACCGGGCTGCTCCCTCACCTGTGGTGGCCAGCAGGTGCTGGGGGCTGCTGGGGACCCCTTTCTTCACGTTGTGCAGGGTGACTATGTACTTGGTCCCAGGCAGCAAACCAAGGATGTCGTAGCTGTTTTGCTCCTTGGGCACCTGAATCTGCTTCCGGGAGTGCTCCCTGCCCAGGGGGTGGTAGCTGAGGAGGTAGTGGTCCACCTCGCTGGAGGGCTCCCAGCTCACCAGCAGGGACTCCTCCGTGCTCTTGAGCAGCTGCAGGCCCTGGGGGGCGACACTGTGTGGGGAGCAGGAACAGGATGGAGAAGGTGAGGAAAGAGGGGTAGAACACAGTTAGTACTGGTTGCGCACCTACTATACACTACCATTAACAGGTGTGGGTATGGAAGATACATCTGGATGGACCTCTGAGACACACACACACACACACACACACATCACCTAAGACCAATGGTCCTCAAACCAGCATCGGCATCACCTGGGAACTTGTTAAACATGCAAATTCTCAGGCCCAGCTGGTGTAGCTCAGTGTGAGCATCTACCTATGAACCAGGAGGTCCTCCGTAGAGATGCCAGGTTCAAGAGCACATGCCTGGGTTGTGCCTCCATCCCCAGTAGGGGGAA